TATATATATATATATATGGGAAAAAAAAAATGATTTTGATACCATCCTATTTGACATATACATTAACAAACAGCAGATTCAATTATTAAAATATAATACAGTATAACTAATTTAATTAGTCTTCCTATGTTGTATGTGTTATTGTAATTTTCAGTTTTTCAGCATCTAACTCTATATTAAAAAAATAATTTTTTAATTAATATCTTGTAAAATATGTTAAATTGAAATATATTTGTATCAGTGTCATAATTTAAAATTTGATATGTATAATATATATGATATATGACACATAAAATTAATAATTGATATAAAAACTAAGTATAATTTACACTAATGTAAATTGATAATGACTCACAAAAAATTTTTAAAATTTCACCTCTGACTAAATTGTCTGTCTCGGTCCCCGGCGACAACCCCTCAGTCAAGAACTACCTGTCTGCGTCCCTTGCCACTAGCAGTCGGTCTTAACCACCAGCGAAAACAGCCCAAACCTCCAGCACGATCTCAACAACACTACCACCTCTCCAACACATCACCTCCACTCGTCACCCTTCGTGCCCACATTAGGAATGGAATGACCACAGCATGGCATTGAAAAACAAAAACTCTCTAATTTCATTTGAAAGGAAAATTAAAAATATAGAAAAATAAATAAATAAATGCATATATAAACCACTTTAAGGGGTGTTTGCTTGGGGAGCTTTCTCTCTAAAATTATCTAAACTTGTATTTAAGTATTTTTACACATTAATACAACAACAAAATGAGAGTAAAAGTGATTTGCTAATGTAATTTCCAATGTTTAAAATTTTCTTCCCACATTTTAAAGAAAAAGGGTTTCTCCCAAACTCTCTCTGTAGAACTCACTTAATAACTTTTTTACTAACTTTTTCTATATTAATTTTTCTCACTAAAAACTTTCTTCATAAAGTTGGTTTTTTAGTCAAACAGCCCTAAAATCTAAGTTAAATGCCAAATTTAGTCCCTTAACTTTAGAGTTTTGTGCTCTTTTCATCTTTTAACATTTTTTGTGCTTTTTTCATCTTTTAACTTTAAAAAATAAACATTTTTATCATCTCATCAAGTAGTCTATTAAATTTATTCAAATATGCATATTTTTAATTTATAAACTTATAATGTATGTATATTTTCAGCCCCTAAAATTATAAATTCAAGAACTAACAATGTATATATATAGATAGACTTAATAGTTTAACTGATGGAGGGATAAGAAAAGTACTATTTAAAAAGTTGAGAGATCAGAAAAGTACTTAAAATAGATAAGGGATGAAAATGTGTAAAACCCTAAAGTGAGGGTCTGTATTGGCATTTAACCTAAAATCTATAATTTACACGGAAATTCATTCTACCCCAGCACCTCTCTTTCAAATCCATTGAAACTCCATAAATATCTCCAAAAATATCCACTGAAGCGATATCCCCAAGCATCAATAAAAAATATATTTATAGATAAATATCCTCAAGTAAATATGGAAACTACATACTGAGTTTACCCTTTTTTTAGAACTTTCTCTTTCATAAGCATTATTTTCCCAAATTAAGGTCTAAAGCATTTCCCCAACAACCATATCAGCCCCATTTCTTCTTAAATAATAAACAAACCTTAACCCCAACTTTCAACATGCAATTCAACCAATTTTTTTTTTTTTTCTCTTTCAAGAAAAGGCCAGTGAAAACATTATGAAGACGGCAGACATGCATAAAATAGAATCTTCTATCTATCAAGAAGCATATGATGAACTCGAGATTCTCTGCGGTGCAAAAGTCGGTATCAAGGTATTCTCAGGTGAGAAGCCCTTGATCTCATCCAGTAACCCGAGCAAGTTGCTGAACCTGCTACAGGGACCTTTAAAAGCTAGAACCAAGTATCGTCCCCATAAGGACCCCCAACTGGCCAACATAATCCGCGAACTCAACAGGAAGCATGATGAGTTGCTCTGCCAGCTCGAGGACGAGGAGAAGAAAGACAAGAGGTTGGCGGAGATGAATGCTGGTGGGACTGGCTGGTGGACTAAACCGTTGAAGGAGCTAAGCTTGGAGGAGCTGAAGCAGATAGAAGGTGTGGCAGATAATATGTCTCCGGCTCCGGATGAAATGTCCCAATCGTCTGCACCAGCTCCGAGAGTTAGAGATTTTGAAAACGCTGCTGAAACAAGTACCAGCTCAACCGTTAGTAATGGCAACGGTAATTAAGGTCAGGCATCATGTTTAATATGGCTGTTTTTCAAAAAAAAAAAAGAGGAAAACAAAAAATGAAAATGGGGTTAAATTTTCAATGAATGCTTAGCCCCCTTTCAGTTTAGGGTGGTTACTGTGTGGCCAAAAAATATAAATCATCATCATCTATGTTCAATTTCCAAATAATTTAATAAAATTTTTTTTTTAATAATTGGTAAAACTTTCAATTTAACACACTTCATAATATATATTAATTCAATCATTAAAGTTTGCAACTTTTAATTTTCCCCTTTTAATTCAAATTTGAAAATAATAATTTTTTAATAAATATATTGTGAAATGTGTTGAATTAAATGGTATACTAATATTTGTCTTTTTCAAAAATATATATAGTATTTTTTTCATGATTACATATATGAAATCAATTTTAATCTTTAAACATATATGATATGTATGAATAGAATATTAAATTTAACTATCAGTTTGATATAATATAAATTTACAAAAATATATACAACTAATGTAAAATCTTGAACGACTTGATGATAATCTCTTTGGAATTTTCTATCTTGTACTATAATTTATTTAGATTTTTCTAACATGTGCCCTTATGATATAATAAATATACTTTTTATCATAAATTTATATTAAAAACAAAAATTGACTTTTAATTTATCATTTATCCAATTAAATTCATCCAGTTGGCATCTACACTAAAATTAATATAAATTTTTTATATTTTTGTATATATATATTTATGAGAAAAAAATATCTGTAACATATGCCCTTAAAACACAGTTTAGAAAAACTCAATCTCTTTTAACGGAAGTAGAAGGTCTTGGGTTCAAGTCATAGGCAAATGAGTGATTAGGTGAGGTGAATAAAGAGACGAGAGGGTTGCTCCCATTGTGTAACCTAAAATTACCAAAAAAAAAAAAAAAACTAATGTAAAAGTTTATGTAACTTACACAATATAACTAAATTTTGACTACTTTTTAATTTTTTTTTTTACTTTGATAAAATTATTATGTCTTAGGAATTTGTCTCAAAGAGAGACATGGTTACTTTATCTAGATCCTAAATATTTTCATTAGATTTGAAATGTTCCTATAACTGAAACTCCAAAAATAAATTTTGTAATAAACAAAAATTAATGTACTATATTTCAAATTTCTTAAAAGCTTAGAGGGGCTGCTGGCCCCATTTTCCTACACCAGTTCTTTCCGTGGATGTTGCAATGTTCAGTTGCTATCGAAAATGCGGACAGTGGCGTTTTAAAAGAAAATTATTACATTTGAAAGGCCTGCTAGCATTTGCTGGACCTTAATCCTTCTCATTACGCATGCAATGACGAGGAAAAATTAATTAATAAAACTCTATATAACAATTTATGATAAAAAATATATTATATATAAAAATAAGATATTTTAATTTTAAATTATATAATATATAAGAAAAGTAAACTAATGAATGAGAAAAAATTATTTTTTATTATCTAACTTAAGATTTAAAAAATGTTAATTATATATTAAAATTAATTTAATTATATATCTTAATTTATACCAACGACTTAAATAATTTATTAGTTATCTGTTTTCGTTGAAAATAAAAAATTTTGAGTTTGAATTGTATGACATGTTAGTGAAGTGATATAAAGAATGAAAAATAATATATCTTAATTTAAAGAAAGAGAAACGACATGGCAGATACGATGAATACAAATTGAATATCTTCTGTGCCCAAATAATTAAACTTGTTTACATTGACTAAAATAATCTAGCACCATCGTTGAAGTCTTTGTCGGAAGTACATACAAAATACAGCCAAAGCCTTCTCTGCATCTGCGACTAATTTAGCATCCTTCCACAGTTCCGCTTCATCTTTCTCTTCCTTCGTCCTTTATTTTTTATTTTAAATTATACAGTGAAATGTAAATTTCTCTCATTTTTTTAAATCTTTAATCCACTTCATTAGTTTATTATGTAATTTGAAAATTTTTTATTTTAATTGAAAAAAAAAATCTATTTAACTATTTAAGTTATTTGTTCGTATCTTTTTTCTAAATAAATTAAAATTGCCTTCAATTCACACGATTTTAATGCCAGAATCTAAGGAAACAGATTAAACGGACTAACGGAGCAATAAGACAATAATAACACCGCGATTCCCACTAAGACAGTAGGCTTGATTATTTTAATTAGTAATCACATCGCATGTCCATAATTCCTAATTAAGTCACATTATTTTACTCCAAAGAACCACAAATTGAACTTAAATATCCAATATGGCAAAAATAGTAAAAAAAGAGTAAATATTCAATGAATTAAATACTAATTATAAAAAAAATTAAAGACCTCTCTCTTTCTCTTGTTAGCTCCTTTTTATTAGTTTCTTCTGTCCTGGCAGTATGGATTTCATCTCTTCCAGCGTTAGCAATCATCGATGCTTTTTTGTAAGTGAATATCTTAGAAAAATGTAAGGATTATAAGACTAATAGTACGTAACACATTTGATAAAAATACAAAAACCTAAAAAAGTATCATGTTAACCAATGTTTTTTTGAACCGGACTAAACTAGTTGATCAAACAAGTCAAAGTAATAACCAACCATAAAAACCATTTGCTTAAAAACAAAGGCAATTTAGCAAATAAACCAATCAAAAATTAAATTTTTTTTCTAATTTGGGCCTTTAAACACATGTTAAAGGTGCAATTATTTTATTTCTTTTAATTAATATAAAAAAATAAAATTTGATCTTTATTTAAATAATTACTCAATTTAATATCATATCACATTAGTATTGAAATAAATAATAATTTTTATATTTTTTAATGTTAACTAATATATAAAAGATATAATTATACTCTTAATCTATTTCTTTAGAGTACAAATTTAAAAAAAAAATCCAAAATTAAAAACAATGATTTTAACCACTGAACTTGTGAAATTTAAAAAAAAATTCAGAGATTAAATAGAAAATTTACACTAATTTAGGGGCCCTACTATGCTAAGGTCAAAGCAATATATATTGGTCAAAAGGGGCTCAGAAGAATCTCAACGCTTGGAAGTCACCCGCATGTTGGTATCTAACAGTATCTATTTTTTCCACAGACATCTTTTTTAATTTCCTTGTTTGCCCCTTCAACTTTACTTTATTCCAAAAACGCCCCATAAAAATTTAGCAAAAAGGGCCCCGAGAAAGACGGCTATAAAAATCATCTTGATCTTTTTCCCTTATAAAGTCCTCTCGGTTTTGATTTGTGTGGGTCGAGAGCGAGGGAATTCAAAGGCAGTACCAATCAGCACAACAGGAACAGATCTTTCATGAAAGATACCCAGAAAAGGAATTCGTTTTCAGGACCCTGTACTTCGCTCTTTTACACACCCAGAAGGGTTTTGGAGCTTCCACACCGTGTTTTTGGATAGAAAGTTGAGGTTTTTATATATATAAAGTACAGGGGCACGGACGGGGAAAGGAGGGAAACAGAAGGGGAGGAGCGAGGGAGACATGATTGGATTGAGAGAAGGGTGGCTTCTATTTGGAGTGAATGTGGGTCTTGCTTGTGTTGATGGCATCATAGCCGTTCTTGCTTTTACTCAGGTTTGTTCTGCACTTTTGAGTTGTTATTATGTTAAGTTTTTAGGATTTGTTTGCTGAAATTTGACTTGTTTTTGGATATTCTGGTGGTTTTTGATTCATCTGTAGTGGATAAGATATGAAAAAGGTGTTGTTTTGCAATGTGTTTCAAGGTGGAATTTGAGCATGTAAATTGAGGATTTTGTTTTTCAATTGCCTGGGTTTTGCCATGGGCATTTTGTGGTTGTTTTGGATTGCAGAAGTGATTATTTTGTTGCCTTTTTATGTTGGTTTTATCATGAATAGTTCTATTTGATTGTCAATAGACTTCCATTTGAACTTATATGAGTGACATTCGTGTGAGAGAAGCAATTCAAGGTGATTACTTGAGGTTTTTGCTGGATGTCGAGGCAGATTCAGTATGCATGTATGTAGGTTGTAACAAGTACTATTTTAAATAGCATTGTTACATATATGGTTTAGGGAGTATTTATGGGTGATATGACATTTATATTCTTAAGATACCAATAAAATTAGTGCCCTAAAAAGAAAAATTAAAAGTGAATTTTCTGTATTCGTGACTGATCAATGTGACAAAGCCTAGTTATAAGAAGCAGTGCATCTTCAAAGAAAATATATTTTAAGATTCCGTTAGAACATTTGTTATAATTCAGTCAAAGAAAAGCCGTGAAAGGCTTTGCAGTTGGCTTATTGGCATTGTGTGATTGGGAAATAGGAGAAGCTGTAAGTTATGTGGTTCATTTTTTATAATTCAGGTCTGCTGGCTGACAACCCTAGTTCTTTTGTTATTTGAACAATTATGTGGTTTCACTTGCTTGCTTGCCTTGTGACCCTATTGTCTGACTCAAAATACATTAACAGTGTTGTTTCAAAGCTGTCATTTTGGCATTACCGCATGCTCAAAATATGGAACTCTACATCTCATTACAGGCTGGGAGCTTATTATATTCCTTTATAGTATTATGGTTTTGTCACTTCATTTTTCTGCACTGTAACCTGGTATCTTAAGGCTGCCTTATTCTCTGTGTCTGTTTCAAACGAATAAGCTATATGTTGCTGCATGCATGAATGTAGTCATTTTATCAGAATCCAAGAATATACTTTAGATGTTTTATGCTAATGGACAGTTGTCATAATATGTATCTAATTCATTGGTATAAGATACTACCAAAGATTTGCAATGGTTATTTCTTATTTTGATGTGTTTCATTTTTTCTAGCTCATGTGCTTCATATCTATCTACTTTTTCTAATTTTCCTTGCCAGCTGATACGAATTCACTCAAGAAATTCACAACTTGGATGGACTCGCCAAAAAGTAAGTGATATATTACTTCTTACAGTTTCATGATTGAAACTAAAGACACTTTTTATTTGAACATACACCAAACAGTCAATTCACAGGCTAGTTGAATTAACCCAATGTCATCCAACCAGCTTGTTCAAGTGGGAAACTGAACCTTGATGTTGCCTTGTGAATTGTCTGACACCTTTATGGACAAACCTGATGAAATTGTCTGAACCAGAAGGATTCTTCATTACTCTTCTTCTTCTTCTTCCCCTTTTTTTTCCTGGGCAAGGAATGAGTGATGTAAATTAAGTTGTAACCACATCACAAGTATCCTTTGAAAAATATTTGGGCCCCAGGAATTAAAGATAATACCTTTTAGAGGAACCTACTTGATCAATCTTTGTGGGTTTCAACTATTGGATTATTCTCGTGTCCTTTTGTAATACCTTTACTTTATGAGAAAAATGTTGACTTGATCTTGATACAAATGAGTGGCAAATTTCAGGTGTTCCATCTTCTTATTGGCTCTACTAATACAGGTAAGCCTTTGTATTTCTACCTTAATCTTAGGGCCTTTTGGTTGTACATGCATGGCATAATTATTTTCAATCATTTATTGGTAGCCCCTTATGGTGCGATAAATAATTGTTGGTTTTCAAATCGAAGCACTTAAGTGCTTATGAAAGACACTCTGTAGATATTTTATAGTTGATAGGATATCTTACAGGTTTTGATTTTACTTAATTAATGTTGAATTTTTTATTTTTAGTTCTTATTAATCCATAGTAGGGTATTTAATGAGTTAGGGATGAGAGAAACTGTCAGAAGTTGAATTAAATTCAATAATGGACTGAGTAAAATGGAGGAAATAAATTATGTTCTATATGAAGAGGAAGGCATTGTCACTTCGTATTGCTATCTGTTCTTGTTCTTGTAATATGGAAATATTACCTAAACACTTTCACATATTTGTCAATATTTTGGCACATCAGCATTGTTCTGGTTGTTGAACATCATTGTGTATTTTTTTGACAGCATCATATTATAGCTAGTCACTTTCGTCTCCCTTCAGTATTTTTGGTACCACATCTCTAATTCAAACTGAATTACTGAATTTAGTTCTGCTTGGCAGGTTACTTCATTTATTTTGTCTTGACTCTAGTTGTTGCCTGCAAAGATTGGCCTTGTTGGTCTTATTCATGTGGTTTTGTAGCCATGGGTATGTCTAGATGCTCATATTTAAATCTTGGCAAAAGTTTACATTTTCCTCTTCTTTTTTTTCTCACTTTTAGCAGGAAGGTTAACTATTAATTTGTGAAAATATGTTTGCAGCCTTGCCCAGAATTCTATTTTTTGCAGCATTTCTTCTACTTTTGTCATTCTGGTATGTTTTTAACTACTTTATTGAAAATTTATTTTTACTCCAATCATATACCTTTGAAAGTTTATTAAAACAAATTAC